CAGGATGCATTTGACTGATGGATAAGGACTCCCCACGTCGCCCAGAGTTAGCGATACCCCTGAGAAAAGTGGTCGACTTTACAAATATGTGTGTGTGTGTGTGTGTGTGTGTGTGTGTGTGTGTGTGTGTGTGTGTGTGTTCTGTGAGAAAGAGGGGGCAAAATATACACATGAGTTCTGGAAGAACCCAAACCCATTACTCCTCATCCCTTTCAGATATAGTGAGAATCCCATAGCTCTGACATATCCATTATGACCCACATATGCAATTGTTTATCCACAGTTAATTCCCGTTAACTTGGTTTAAGTTGAATTAACCATAATCTTTTTTTCTTTTTTTTCCAACCAAAGCAGAGTCATTTCATTGATAGATTGAAATTCGAGGTCGGGGACCTCACAATTCGACCCGGAGTTATCCTGGCAGCATTAGCCAGTTTCACTTATGATGTGACCAGTTAAAACCAATTCCCAAAGAATGAAGACCTAATGACTTACCCTTAGCCTATGGATCACTATTGGCCTCCGACAGTCTGGTTGTTCCCTCCCTCAGCATTCTAACCTGAGCCTCACTCCTGCTCCCTTCCCCTTGTGTGCATTGGCTGTACACCTCAGGGGACATTGAGGCGCTCCACGACCCGGGGCTGTAACTGACTGGCTCTTGATGTGTTGTGGCACACAGTGAAACCGCTGGGTGTCGCCTCCAGTCATGTAGGAGCAGTTATCCGGAACAGAGGTGAACGGCTGAGGCCTGGGATGTCTCTTGCTGTGAGCGGACTTCGTCCATTGGATTGTGGTTGCCCTCCCTCAGTCCCATCACTGTCCAATTGAGTCTGAGCCATCCTGCTGTAATGGTTCTCAACTTGCCCCTTCCCAACACTCACTGTTTGAAAGTGTCTGTGATTTCCTGTCTCTTTGCAGGGTCTCTTTTGATCTGCTGTCTGGCCAATCGGAGTGGTACTCGTCATGCAGCATTTGGGTAAGCCCAAGCCAGGCCTCTTCTGGAGTTACAATCTGTGCGTCTATGGTCTCCTAAGAGTCTCCTTACAAAAGCCTGCGGTAGAGAGTCCATTCGCAACTCTTAAATTAACCATATTCAATATTATCCACTGATGCAATTGTTTATCCAAAATTGCATCAGTGGATGCATCAGTGGATAACATTCGATACGATTACCCATATATGCAATTGTTCCCCTCCCCCCCCTCTTTTTCTCCTTCATCCCCTCTTCCCTCCCACCTCATCCCCTCCATTACACATAGATGCAAATTGTATATCCGATGTTATCCAAAATTATGATATTATTATCACTACACATATGGTTCTACATTCCTTATTACCACAGGTACAAACTATGACAGACTGGAACAGAACCCACCAACCCTGCCAAAGTCTTACAAACACTTTTTTTTTTTTTTTTTTGTTTTGTTTTGGGACTTGCTCCAATCTATTCGTGGGGAGCAACACGTGCTGGGAACCGGGCCCAGCGTCCCATTCAAAAACATATTGAGAGAATTTTGCAGAAAACTTTGAGATACCGGGACCGTTACCCGGCTTCGGCTAAGTCTTACAAACACTGCGAATTGAAAAAAAGAAACTTGTGTTCGCTCTGCATTCTTTAAAAACGACTGATCCAATGCTGTGACTGACTGCAGCACTGGAATCATGGACATAATTCGATTATGTATTTTGAGTTTGAAATGGAATCATTAGTCCATGTTGGCTTGGATAATTCGCTATCTCCTTGAGCAGCGGTAATATGAGAGAGTGGTGGGGAATTGAAATCTTCGCCAAGAGGCTCAAAACCATCAGTCGCCCTATCAGAACCGCCAGTCATTATTGGGGCAACTTTCAGTCCAGATGGAGCTATAACGACCCGGCATTCCTTTTTTCTCTGGTGACAGCGTTGAGATATCATCTTTGAACTGACCGGCTCCAGGTAAATTCAGAGTTCTTTTCACTCATCCGATTCCATTGGAATTCGAACTCAGGGATGTGTTTCCGTAGTTCAAAGGTTTACCAACTGAGCTAACCACTTTGGTGAACCAAAAATGATTTTGCCTAAACAATGACCGGGCAAAATGTTGACCCATTACTTCAGTACTCCCACAATACATGAGTGAGAGCATATGACACACACCGATACCACCATCTGCAGCATCATTCATTCACATCACCAGCACCACAAGCGTTACAATCAATGTCATTATCATTAACAACAACCATCGTCATCCATCATCATTGTCATCATCGCAATCATCAATCATTCTCCTCATCATCCTTGTCCTCAACATCATAGCCATGGTCGCCGACCCGCTGATTATCAGCATCAAACATCATCCACAAGAAATGAAAAAACACATCGTAGTCATGGTATAACTGACAAACATAGAAACATTACATCTGAGTTGTAGTAGTACACCAATCACCAAAAATGATGCAGAACTTCAGCCAGACACAATGTACAGTAATTACTACTCTCAGGTGGCACAGCTAGTTCGCGTTAAATACAGCGTTGTTGTTGCTGCTAACGACAGTTTTCTGAATTCGCAAGAGAACTTGGCAAGAGAACCCAACCCTTCTCCCCTCAATAGAAACTGCAAATCTTTGAAAATTAGAAAAGAAGTAGAAGCACAAGAAGATAGCTGCAAATTTTGAACCGGAAGCAGAGCGCACAGCCACATCCGCAGCCGCAGCTGCAGAGCAAAGAGCAGAAACTGTAGCATAGGCAGAGAAGCGGACGAGGAAGCAACAGCAGTAGCCGCACCAGATCACCATGAAGAAAAACTGGACAAAAAGGAAGGTGAGTAGTACTGAGTACGAGAACAAGGAGAAGCAAGGGCAAAGTTGAAATTGCCATGTAATCTACCAGACTACCACCAAATTGATTGCTCGCTTACTGATTTGCTCTCCGCTTCCCATCTCGGGCACTTCTGACAGATACCGATGCCTTGCTATTCTTCCCTGTGTTCCCACTACCACTCCAAACAACAACCGATTGCTTCACAGCGCCTTCTCTTCGCAGATCTTGTTCCTTGGAGTTATTACTTGTCCTCTTCTCCCGTGGTTTTGCACCTGATTCAGCTACCTTCGGTGGCAATTTGCCTTCCACGGAGAAGCCAGGCTTTTCAAATTGTGCCGCCATATCCAGCACCATTGAATCACGGACTGTAACAGCTAATCCCTCATACGTCCAGATTTGCAGTGTGGCAGCTCCTGACATGGCGATTCCAACCCAACCAATTCCAGCAAAAGCGATGTCCTTACAGCTCTGATCCCATCGGTCTCCCTTGACTTCCACAGTGTGCGACATCCACCTGCCCATGGCTGCGATTCTCTCTGGAGTGCCAATTGGTGGCTGCACAGGGTTCGGGCCAGCCAGCACCACCCACACACACACACACACACGCACACAGACACAGACACACAGAGGTGGGGGGGGGGTAATGGGAAGGCAAAGATTGGTTGGAGTGTCATCATACGATAGGATCAATGAATGCATAACATACTCCGGCTATGCTCAACACTCGGAAGACGACATGAAGTGACTCAGGCATTGCATTAACCTCACAACTCTTGCTGACAATGAATGCATAACATACTCATGCTATGCTCAACACTCGGAAGATGACATGGAGTGACTCAGGCATTGCATTAACCTCACAACTCTTGCTGACACTCGCAACAGACAGCAAATGTTCACAGTATATGACAGTGAGACCAATGGTTTGTTTAACTCAAAGAGTCATCTGGAGTGTTATGTAGACCCACACCATGTTCATTGGCATGCATACAGCATTGGAGTTGAAGGAATCCAACAGCGATCATGAGCATCGGCCTTTTTTTTTTTTTTTTCAGCTGTCTTCTCCTCATACACCGGGGACAAGCTGCATTTATTTTCTTCTCTCAATCTTGCATCAACCTCACACCAGCTGAATATCTATACCCCACCCTACATTATCCACTCAAGTATCAAGTATGGAGATTACCTTATCTTTGTACTCGTCCGACCACAAACCCACTACTCAGCCTAGCTAATTTAGTGATCCAGACCCTACATTATCCACTCACGTGCAATAACCCGCTCCTTATGTCCTGTTGTTGCCCGAGGGGCACAGGCAGGCCACGACCCCGGCCTAAGGCCGCGACGACCAGGGGGAGGAGAACCCCCGGAAAAGGCTTCAGGGCCTTGGCGCCCGAGAGTTGAATTTGGTCAACTGCCCATCGGCCCACGAGTCAAAGTCTGTATGGACCCACCCCAGGCCGCCGGTCAGACACACACACTTGTTTGTATGCAGGTAGCATTCCGACCAAATGGAAGTCTACAACTGTATGAGATCCAGGCCGTCGGCTGTGAGTCAATCTGAGCCACCGTGGGTAGGAGACCTGAGGCAGGTCAGCCTCGTCAAATGCTACATAAGGCCCTGCCTCCAGGGAGTCAGCATTCAGTCTTGCTACGCTGATTTGACGCTGGCTGGACACTGGCATTGTGGACGACGACACGAGACTGCTGCCTGCGTGCTGGCACCTTCCTGTCTTGGAGCCAGCTGTCTTCATTGCTGACGTGGCATCTGCCACGCTGTCTTCAACATTGCTGATGTGGCGCATGCCACTCCATCTTCATTGCTGACGTGGCATCGTCCACACTGTTTTCATTGCTGAGTTGGATGCGACAAGAAGGTGCAATCAGACTCGTTTTCAAACACACTTTTCACACATGTAAACAGTAACGCAGCATACTGGCGACACGCGCCCACTCAAACTCAGAGATATTTCACTCCCAATTGGCTATGGCGACCTCAGCGCCCAAACATCTCACTGTTCACATACACTGGATCACCCT